ACCAGTTATTACTCCATAGATTTTGACAGGTGTGGTACTGTTGATCTTCCTGTAGCACCTGTTTGCCAGTTCCCCCATCCCCCCTCCCCCTCACTTTTTTGGTTGGGTTTATATTGCTCAATTCTTAGTTATATTAATTTAATGGACTGCTATTCGTGTCTGTTCTGTTCGTCTTTCTGTCTTTGAATTCTGTTCCCCCATTCCCCCTCCCCTCTCTTTTTTGGTTGGGTTTATGTTGCTCAATCCTCAGTTTTAATAGTTTTATAGACTGCTATTGGTGTCTTTTCTGTTCGTCTTTCTGTCTTTGAATTCTGTTGTGAATTTTTTATGCCTGACCTACGATAGTAGAAGGGCATTATGTTTTTCAGTCTGTGCGTCCGTTCGTTCATCCGTCCGTTTGTCTGTCTGTCCCGCTTCAGGTTAAAGATTTTGGTCAAGGTAGATTTTGATGAAGTTGAAGTCCAATCAACTTGAATATTAGTACACATGTTCCCTATGATATGATCTTTCTAATTTTTAATGCCAAATTAGAGTTTTTACTCTAATTTCATGGTCCACTGAGCATAGAAAACAATAGTACGAGTGGGCAGGTTAAAGTTTTTGGTCAAGGTAGTTTTTGATGAAGTTGAAGTCCAATCAACTTGAAACTTAGCACACATGTTCCCTATGATATGATCTTTCTAATTTTAATGTCAAATTAGAGTTTTGACCCCCAATTTCACGGTCCACTGAACATAGAAAATGATAGTGCGAGTGGGGCATCTGTGTAGTATGGACACATTCTTGTTTAAAGCATATTGAAGATTTTGCATTATATAAATAAAAAAAAATTTAAAATCTTTAAGTCATTTAAACATACCGTCATAAGTGAACCTATTTCTTTTTAAGATAGGACAATAATCTTTTGAGAAGTACAGCAAATTTATGGAAACATGATTAAAAAAAATATGTACTTAAAGGGTTTGCTTTGTAAATTCTGTCCCAGATCTAAAGATTGTACATATATATCTACTGTAAACTCAGAATTTTTTGTGTGCATTTACTAATTGGATTTAAGGAAAGGCTGCATGAAAATAATGTGATTATAATTTAGAATGAACGTTCTAATCGGCAAATTCAGATATTCAACTTCCGTCATCATAAATTACAAAGTGCAGTCCCAGAGTCCTAGTAAATGAATATCAGAATGTCCAAAACAATTATCTACAGAAGTCTTTTTTTATTTGTTTCTACTTACTAGCATGATAAATCAGTCTTTCATAGATTTCTGTAAATTTATAGGAATTCAGGGGCTTTTTTTGCAGTAAATGCTACTGGCCTGACAATAATTTTACTAGCCGGGACTCAGAGCTTGTGGTTTATATAATTCTGAAGATTGGTTACAATAATGCATCACTTTATCTAAATGAATCCATTGATATGATACTTATTCTGTCAGATTTTGTCACATTGGTAAAAGTTCTGAATTTACAATACATATTGTTGTATCCATCATGTCCATAGGTAAATTGTATTAGAAAAATCAATCTGTGCATGACAGTACATCATTGGCGCTGCATGAGTTTATTACACATGTCAACAGATGAAAAGATTTATTGACTAATTTGAAAGCAAAACATTTAAAAATGAAAAAAATGAAATAAAATCCATGTTGTTTTTTTTTGCTATATATGGGATGATAAATTAGGCATGAGTTTGCTTTAGTCATACCTGCCAAACTTTTTGTGTTTCAAAGTGGGAGGTCACCCTCTTACAGCTTGCGTAATTATATATATAATGGGGAAGATTATGCATGATTGCCTTTTAACATTCAAAATTTTTTTGCTTTAATTATCTAGTTATAACAACATTCTTGATGAAATGGGATGTAATTTAAATATTTAAAAAAAGAATTGTTTTTGCAAAAAGTAAAATCACAAAAATACTGAACTCCGAGGAAAATTCAATCGGAAGGTCCCTAATCACATGGCAAAATCAAATGACAAAACACATCAAACGAATGGACAACAACTGTCATATTCCTGACTTGGTACAGGCATTTTCAAATGCTTTGTAAATTCTGTCCCAGATCTAAAGATTGTACATATATATCTACTGTAAATTCAGAATTTTTTGTGTGCATTTACTAATTGGATTTAAGGAAAGGCTGCATGAAAATAATGTGATTATAATTTAGAATGAACGTTCTAATCGGCAAATTCAGATATTCAACTTCCAGTGAAAATAAATCACAGAAAGATCTATCAAAACAACTCAAATGATGAAAGGCAGTGTTTTGGTGTGAAGTCAAAAGGGTATCAGGTCCATTCGTCCCAAAACACGTTCGCACCCTACACGTTCGCACCCCACACAATTGCCCCCTGGGTCGTTCGCACCTAATTTTTATTCAATTACCGATTGAATTATCAGATGTTTTTTAGTTGTATAAATCAAAATATTTATATTTTCATTAATAAAAATTCTGCAATATCAAAATGAAATATTTTGGGGGGGGGGGGGGGGAGATTTTATGAAGACTGTATGGACCGTTGATAATTCTCCGCCAAAGTAGACTTTGAACTTTGATTACAATTATGACTGTTGTTTGAATTTAATACATTTTCTTAAATAAACTGTTTATATAAGTGCATATAAGATAGTACGGTGTGTAAATGGTGTATAATGTGATATTTCAGGGTTGTTTTTTTTTAAATATTTTAGTGCTCTTTTAAATTTTATAAAGTAGTTACTCTAAATATGTTAATGTTGTTTTTAAATGAAATATTTCATGATAAGAATGATTGTGTATGGTTAAAGTGCATGAAGAAGGAAACCTATTTACGTTTTTAGAATGTCACTTTATTTTAAAACAATAAAAAAGCTTATTTATAGCAATACACTTAAACTAAAACACGATTAAAAAATTATTCCATAGAAATCCCAATAAAAAGGGTGCAAACGTGAATGGGAGCGAATATGATTTTGGGCGAATGGATCCAGATTCAGTCCAAGGGGGGGGGGGGGGGGGGGGGGGGGGGGGGATTACAAATTTAATGTTTGGGAAAAAAAGATAGATTTCCTCCTAGATTACCAAGTGTGTTGGCAAGTATTATTAGTGATTATTTTGTTATTCATAATCCATTCCTTCTTACAAGACAAAATAAGAAGTTTTGGTGGTTATGCTGATTTTGTTGATCTCTTTCTTATGATGAACAAGGTCATCCTCTGGATATCTCATTTGTGTTGTGAGGTAGCTGTCTCATTGACATATTCCTTACATCTCTTTGTTTCATATTTGATGCAATGATGATTTTGTATCTTTAATATAAATAAACTTGACCTTGTGAAGGTACTGGGACTGATTCTATTGTAATGTTGTGGGTTATAACTTGTATAACTGAGCATTGATCATAGTAAGGAAATCATCACAACACATGTTCAACCACAACACATCTTATTGGATGTTCATGTGCCAGTTTAAAAAGGAACAAAACTAGTTTCACTACTACACGTGTTAAAATCAAAAATCAGAAACAAGACTCGTGACCGAACAACACTGATAATTAACTCATGCGCTACGCGCATTCGTGAATTAATGTGTTGTTCGGTCACTCGTTGAATATTTTTCTCTATTTGAATTCTTCGATTAGTTATTCTTTTTATTACATTGGCAAATGGCTTTTTTAATGAAATTAATGTAGAAAATGTAAGGAACTATATCTTTTTTCTACGCATTCACAATTTGTTTTGATCCGACGTTATCGACGTCTTGACAACGTCTATTGTTGTATGACGTCAGAGAGTGAAATAACCAAGTTTATTTCACATGTGAAATTATCAGTTTTTATTTAACTGGGAAATCAATGTAATTCATTGCTACCAATGTAATAATTAAGTTTAATCATAATACTTAATTGTGCCTGTCCCAAATAGGAACTAAACTATTTCAAATTCTACACATGTTGAAAAGTGCCAGTCCCAAATCAGAAACAAGACTTAGTTTACAATAACTATAAATGTGTCAGTCCCTAATGGGAACAAAAATATTTTAGATTGTACATCTATGTGTTGAAATGTGTCAGTCCCTAATGGGAACAAAAAATATTTTAGATTGTATAGATATAAGAAGATGTGGTATGAGTGCCAATGAGACAACTCTCCATCCAAGTAAAAATTTATAAAAGTAAACCACTATAGGTCACAGTACATGTATGTACATGTATGTGTTGAAATGTGTCAGTCCCGATTCAGAAACATGACTAGTTTAATCACAAAATATAAAAAATATGCCAGTCACAAGTTAGAAACAATGCTAGTTTCACTAAAATAGATGTTAATAAAAGTGGCAAAAGACATCAAAGGGACAATCTAAAACCATGAGTTGAAGAAAAACAGACAGTCACATGACAAAAATTTTAAAAAATGATCAAAAGAAAAACAACTGTACATAGAAAACTAAAATACTGACTAATTTAATGTGCCTATCCCAGTCAGGATCAACCTTGTCAGTCATCGATTTTGTTCATATCTTAAGAAAGGTGTTCTCTAAAAGTGAATGTGTACTTGATGGCAGACTTTTTCCAGCCTATGTTAAGTGTACTCTATTTAGACTTGTAGGGACTTAGACCTTGATATATGATATAGACTCTTGTTGAAGGTTGACTTCTAGATATCATTTTATTATGTTGCTGGGTTCCTGTCTCTTTCACATTTACCTCACATCTGTATGCATATAGTTGTGATATTACTGGCCTGGATTGACATAAGATTTGGGATATACAAAGACTATGTAGTGACTGTATCAAAACCATTATCATATTTGGATATTTTTTAGTAGGCCTAGCAGAGAACTTCAAAAGTTTAATGTGTATACTTGAATAAAACAGTTAATTATAAATTTTAATAGATTTCATTGACTTGGTGGATACATACTATGACATTAGGAGAAGTCCACTGGGCCTGTGGAAGTGCAACTTCAAAGTTCATTGTGTACATAAATAAAACAATTTATTATAAAAATTTTAATAGATTTCATTGACTTGGTGAACTATGACAGTAGGAGAGGTCCATCCGCTGGCTGATTTTAATGGTTGTAATTCATGATATGTTTTGTCACTTGAGTTGTAATCTCTGTTGTATGTTTTCCTTCGAGCCCCTCGTTCCTTTTCAAAATCCTCACATTTTCCAAAGTCATGTGATATCATTGTCTCTGTCACAGATTTTATATCACTGTCATCAAGTATTTTCTTTAACTTCTTTTCATTCAGATGTTTACGAATTCTCCAAACGATGCAGAAAGCTGGGGCCACTAGAATTGCAATGACAACTATAATAACAATCATTACTCCAAAGGCAGAGTCAGATGGGGGTTCACGTTTTATTACCTTTTCAATTTCCTTCTCCTTATACGTGTTATTACCCACAGTTCCCTGTTCTTCAGGAATCCAGATCATTCTAGCAGCTACAGGTGGCTTTTTATTGAGACTTATGGGTTCGTCAGATAAGAGTTGTTTCCATGTTGTAGTTGGTACCCTTGGGAGGGCTAATTTTACAACTTGCTGAGTTGTACTACTATACGACATTTCTGAAGTTTTTGGAGTTGCTATGGTTGCAGAAGTTGTGGTTGGCGTTGCCATGGTTGTGGTAGATGCCACCTTTTCTATTATCCGTTTTGTTTTTTGAACAGGCTGAGAAGTTGTTTCTATCTTTGCTTCTAATGCTGTTTTATTAGGAGCCATAGGAGCTACTGGTTCCCAGGGAGGTGCAGGAATATTTTGAGCCTTTTGAGCCACGGGTTCCCAGGGACGTCCAGTGTTACTTGAAACATCAGGTACCCTTAGCTGTTGTCCATTATTATCTGATTGTGGTGGTGCCTTAGTACTAGGTTTATCAGCTATTTGTAAAGAATCCCATATAGATCTGTGTTGTTCATTAATACCATTTGTGTTTGTTAGAGTTGACTTCCCAGTTATAATTGTCCTTTGAGTATTGGGAAAACTTGTCTTTTTTGCTGACAAATCAAAACCCCTCAGTTTCCTTTGATGTTCAAGCTCTTTACCGGTAGTTGAAGAAATATTTTCATTATGGATGCTTTCATATATTTCTCTCAAGATCATTCTAAATAAAGGTCCTTCAATCTCATACCCTCCACTTTCTTCTCGCTCAATTTTCCCGAAAGGAGTCTCAATTTCATCTCCACCTCCTAATAGAAAACTGTCAACTATATCACTTATAATGGCTGGAGAAAGTTCAGCTGCAGCAATCTCTTTTTGATTGGCAGGGTCTATCCAAACCTCCCTACCAGTGATTGGTGGAATTCTTGTTTTATTATTCCAAAATCCTCTTCCAGTAATGGAAGGTTGCATTGTTCTTAGGTCATGTGTACCTGTCATATGTCCTTGACTGCCTGGAATCTTAGGAGAAACATGCAGCAGTCTTGGGTCAGAAGTTCCTGCACTAAATGTTATCTCTCCTTTATCACCTGCTAGTTTACTTCTGTTGTGGACAAGTGTTGCTTCTACTAATGCTTGTTCAGTTGGATAAATTTGACCTTGATGAGTATTATACCTGTTCCCACCCTCTCTAACAGGACTCCATGGCAACGCACCGTTCTGTCTCATTCTTTCTCGAACCATTTGTTGTAGCTTCGATCGGTTAATGGGACCATTTCTTGAGGTGGGACCATATGCTGGGGAGTTTCTCAAAGCACTATTTTCATTCTCCCTTTCTGTTTCTTGTTCCCGTTCTCTTTCATGTTCGACCTGGTTACCAGTCCATTTGGTTTGATGTGATATTTCAATTGATTGGGTTTGTTGTGATGGTTTGACTGATCGGGTTGGATCAGATGATTTGAACTTGCTTAAATCTAATTGGCTGATAATATTACGTGTTTTGGATCGAGTTTCACTATTTATTCTACTAGGGATTCTTTCCCTTTGGGTACTTTTTCCTTCATTCTCTTCAAATTCAGATCTAGAAGGACTTTGCCAATTATTTACATGTCTTTGGTTTATCTGATTTTCATCATTGGTTGGATAAATGTTTCTTTTATCTCCAACTTGTCCCACATGTTGACCTCTTTGTTGATTTAAAAACCTTTGATAATCTTCCATCTCTTGTTGTTGCCTAGGATTATATTGAGTGTTACTGTATTGATACTCAGACATTTGTGGCATGTGTTTTGACTCTGTGGGTTGATTTCTATGTTGCTGTGGAACATTGTCTTGGATTTCAGACATTTGTGGTAGTTGTCTTGGATCCCATGCAGATGCCACTTTAGAATTAGATTGACTTTGTGTACTATCTTTGGGTACATTTTGTTGATAATAATTTTGACCATTCTGTTGCATATTATAATTAACCTTGTTTTGATGATGTTCATTGTCTGTATCTTTGTAAGTCTGGGGTAAATTGTGATTACTTGGTCCTCGTTCATATTGTATCTGTTGCGTCTGTTGTTGACCCATGTCATTTGATCTATATCTTTGATGTATATCTTCCCCATAACTATAAGTCGGTTGCAGATGTTGTACATTCCACACTGCTGAGGGATCCTCTGTTGGTGAGACAGGACGAGGCGGCAAAGTTGTTGCATCAGTTATTTTGTTGTCTCGTCCTCTTTTTCGATACCATCTGTTTCTATAATTTCCAGTTTCCACATGGGTTGTTTTTGTTTGAGCTCCCGATACAGATTGAAGATACGGATGAGGTTGAACATTCTGATGGACATTAGGTAAAGGCTTTGCAGTTGTTAGTCCGATTAAATCTTTCTTTTGCTCATTTGACATGTGATTTGTGATAAGTTTGTTTGAAACATCACCAAAACTTGAAGGTCGTAATGGCATTATTTTGTCTTTCTTCACAGAATTTTCTTCAAAGTTTCTACGTAATGGACCATTTCCTTGATGATAAGGTCCCCTGTTTGGACCCCTGAGGTTATCTGTAGTGTTTGGGTTTGTCCATATTCGGACACTGCCCGGGCCTCCTGTATCTTTCCTTTGAAGTGGTCCACTGTATTGTGAACCCTGTAATCTATTGGGATTTGTTATTGGTGCTCCCATTTGCCCAGCAAGGCCTGGATTAGCTGCCATTTGCCTTGCAAGGCCTGGATTAGCTGCCATTTGCCCAGCAAGGCCTGGATTAGCTGCCATCATGTGTTTCATTGCCCTTTGTTTTTGTTGCATTTCCCAAAGGTCATCCAAGCCATCAGGAAGGTCAGGATCTATCATTGGCATCCCCATCATTCTAGAATCCAGGGGATTTCCTGCTGGAACCATCCCAGGATTCATTCCCATTCCACCATTATTTAAGTGAGTAGGAAGTAACTGTTGCTGGGAAAACTGGTTCCTTGTTGAAGGATAGTAGTGCTGGGACCTACTAGGTGGTCCTCCATGTTGTTGCTGCTGACTAGGGTTCCTTCCAGACTGGTCCACGTATTGATTTAGTGTTGGATCCATGCCAGGTTGACCTCGACGGCTCCATGTACCAGAGTTTGGATCAAATTGTTGTAGCTGTCTTCCATTGTTTTCCTTCCCATGTAATGGTTGACCTTGTTGAGAATTCCATTTGTTTTGCTGGTATGTATTTTGGACTTGTCTGCCACCTGGTTGCCCAAAATGGTCTGGTTGACCATGTTGAGGATTTCTGTTGCTATGCTGGTTATTGTTTTGGACTTGTCTGACGCCAGGCTGACCTGACTGTCCTGGTTGACCATTTTGAGAATTCCATGCTCCCCTACCTTGGTACATTGTCATTAGTTTTTGTTTTTGTGTATCAGGTTGGTGTGCTTCAGATAAGTACACATCTGTGTAGTTGGTAGGTCTACCTGGAACATCAAAAGAAAACAATACCGTTATCAAACTTTAATGAAGTTCATTTAGTAATGGTTATTATGATAGAAACAGACAGGAAATACTGTGGATTTATTATTTTTGTGGAAACTGAGGACTACAAAAATAACTCTATACAATCAGAAAAGAGAAATTTATTTTCTGAGTCGCATGCACAATGCTCTTTGCAAGTAAAAAGTAAAATAACAAAAATATCGAACCCCAAACAAAATTGTAAAGTAACTACAACCATGCATGAGCCAAGGCTCCGTGTTGAAGACCATACTTTGACCTATAATGGTTTACTTTTATAAATTGTGACTTGGATGGAGAGTTGTCTCATTGGTACTCATACCACATCTTCTTATATATATTTGCTGTGCATTCATTTATCAATTATGATATAATACAACATTACTATTTAAACTTAATATACAAATGTAACAAGAATTTCTCTCCTTTAAAAAACCATGCCCTGCTCATCATTCTCTATAACCATGTACAGTAAACATGAAACATCAGTCAAAATCTTAATTTGGAATACACTTGTAAAAAGTTCACATCAAAATGAACATGTGTGCCAAGTTTCAAATTGTTCTGACCATAACTTCATGGTAAACTTTGTTAACTAAAAACCTTAACCTGATAATTGGACTGACCAACACCTGTGTACACTGATTGGAAAATATAATACTCCCTAACATTGTAGGCAGGCCATGAAACAGTAAGGAGACATGTATGACATGATTTAGAAGTTACCTTAAAGTATGAAAAGCACTGACCAATGTTAGCAATGTTCAATTTGACTAGAGCTTCCTTTTTCTGGTAAATTTATTTATGTTTTGGAATTTTTATAGTATATAAATACTGCAAAGTGACTAAGGACACTTTAATAGGTACAATTGGGGCCAAATTAGCCCTAAATTGTCCTAAAATGAATTGTATTTTAAATTTTCTAAAATTTGTAGAATTCAAAGTTGAATCAATATACAATGTACTTTAGTAAAATAATAAGGTTTTAGTTAAAAATATTTGCCATTATTGGTAAAAAGACAACCATGAAAAGAGAATAGACAGAACTATTAAGTATTTCTATTTTTATTAAGGCCTACATTTAGCCAGCTTAAAATGTAATTAATACTGATTATTATCATCAAATTATTATTATATTTGGTCAGTTTACAGGGCCTTATAAGCCCCAAATTGTAAGTTGTCCCTTATATAGCAAGGGGTCAAATTTTTGCTAATTTTGCCATAAAGATCATATTCCTAATGTATTCCCTCATGTAAATTTGATGTAAGAAATTACGGAATCAGGGACCAGAAAAACATGAAATTAAAAAAAAAAACATGCTAGGAGGGTTGCCTTTGCGATGAAGCAATTTTAAGTCAACATAAATAACTTGTTTTATGAATGGTAACTTTATTTAAAGTTGTTTTAAAATAAAGATAATTATAGTAGGAAAAAAATTGAAGATAATGCAGTAATATTAATGCAAATGATGTATCATTATTGATGTTTTTAAAAAAGAAAATAATGAGATTTAAAGAGGGAAAGAAAAACTATGTTAACATATTTTGTGAAGGAAAAAAGAAAATAAACGAAATTGAGATTTAAAGAGGGAAAAAAAAACTGTCAACATATTTTGTGAAGGAAAAAAGAAAATATGTTGACTCAATTTGTAAATAAAGAACCAAATTATTGACTTACTTTGTGGAAGATATGTTTCATTTCTTCTTTGCATGTTGTTAGTCCAATGGCTACTGCGTGGATTTCTCATTTTGCCATCATTATTGCTAGGGAATTCATAATTTTGGTATTGTCTGTTGATAGCACTGGAATTTGTAACTTGTCCATACACAGTAAATGTCAAAATAGTTAATATCACAAAATTTGTTAAGCAAATCATCTTCTTTTTCAAAAATATAAGTTCATTTAAAATTCATTCAACTGTAATTGCACATGTTATTTTGTTTCTGTCTCTCATACATTTGTCCTTCTAAAGTCTAATAAAAGACATAGTGAATCAAAGAAAAAATAATTTGAACAATAATTGATGATCATGGCCTCATGTTCTGCATAATTACAGATTTGGACAAGTAACATGTTATTTTCTTTTGTTACCTGGTATAAAGGTGTATAGGTAATGTTTTAAAGTGATATATTGTAAACTTTGATGTTCATCAACATAAATTAACTTATTGACATGTGATGTAATTTTTATGGCTTTATTTTGAGAATTAAGAGTTATTAATTATTTTGATTGTTAGTTTAATACCTGTGCCTGTAGAAATTATACAGACAAATTGTAAATAATACAGTCCAAGAAAATTTGAAATAAGAAAGAAAAATGTTATAATAACGAGCTAGAAAAAAGAAAAAAAGACAAAAATTGATTGAAAAAGGAAAAGTAATAAAAAATTACAGCTGTAGAAATTATACAGAAAAATTGTAAATAATACCGTACAAGACAATTTGAAATAAAAAAGATTTTTTTTTTAACTTGCTAGAAAAAAAAAGACAAAAATTGATAGAAGAAAAGAAAAATAATGGAGAATACAAAGTCAAGATTAAAATATAAAAGTCATGTGATCTACAGTAAAGTTGAAATGTCTCAGTCTAAAACGCTCCAAATATACACTTATAAGAGGATGAGAAAGTTACATGACATTGACAAATGTACCATTGTTAAGTGTCTAGATGGGGGTCTTCATTTCCGTAATCTTTAAATTTTAAGACTATTTATCTTTAGTCTCTATATTTTTTGCCATTAATCCCTATTCTTTATGTTTTGCTACTATTTATTCTCTATTCTTTATTTTTTGGTCCATTATTCTCAATTCTTTTAATTTTTTGGTCCATTTTTCTCAATTCTTTTAATTTTTTGGTCCATTATTGTCTAATATGTAAACCCCATCCAAACACTTATTAAAGTCAATTTAAATACAGATCAAAAATACAAATTATTCCTCCAAACTACCTAAAAAATAAAATTAAAAAGAAACTATCAAAATTGAATAGATTCACAACTTATTATAACTTGAAAAATGTATGTACAGTTCTTTGATAGTGGGCCCCATAAACTACTTAAAATGTTTGGTGTTTGTTATTTACAAGTAAATTTTGACAAATAATCATCATAACAAGGAAACATAAAATCAAAAAAACATTTTTGTTACTTTTGTAATAAAAACAAATAATTCTATTGTTACATACTTTGACAGGTTCCATTATTTAACCACATATTCATAATTATTTGATAATTTAAAAAACAAAAGAATAAATTTATAAGATAATTGATACTCCATTTTTTGACAAATTGATTGAAAACTGTTTTTGTATTGTACAAAAAATCAAGAAGAATTTTATTAGAAGATGTTTAATTACAGAACATGAAGAATGTGTATGATAAATTATTAACAACATTAATAAACTTCTATGATCTTGAATGACAATGGTTCTTATGTTTTGTGGTGTCAGACTGCAGATGTTTTTGAATTTAAGTAAAAGAGTTTAACATAATGTATTTAAAACTTTTCAAATCAGGCAAAATATAGATTTTTCATTCAATTTCATGAGTTGATAATTTTAAAGAATTGACTCAGGTTAAAAGGACTCTTAATGGATTGTCATAATCTTGCTGTAAGATGTCGGGTCTGTAGAACATTTTTGCAGTCTAAATTTTTAGCATCTTTCAAGAAGAAGAACAACAATAAAAGTACCAATATTACATAATGATATGTTCCAGTATTTCATGGGTTAATTTTTTCGTGTACATCTATCCTATATATCTTTTTTCCACAATCTTGTCATTAAGTAAATACTGCATGAACAATAGAGTTTTATTTTTATCCAATTCTAAATATGAAAATAAACATGATCCAAAAACATTTTACAAAATTCCTTACATTTTGGTATATATGGCCTGGTGAATTATGCCCAACAATTGACGGTCAATATCAGGATGTCGCTGACTTAAATAGTCTAACTTCAAAAGTATATTTGTTTTCAAGGGGGTTTGTTCAAACTCCCTGGCTATGAATGTGGAACTATTAAACATCATTCTGTTATTCTTGATAAAAAACAATGCAGCAATGTAATTGAATTTACAGAGAAGGTATTTTCTACTTTTAATCATAATATTAATTGGTTTATGTTCTTTTTTCCAGGTCAGTGGGGAGAAAGCCAGCAAGATAAGTTTGGTAGATTTAGCTGGTAGTGAACGTGCTCAGAAAACTGGTGCTGTGGGGGACCGTCTCAAAGAGGGAAGCAACATCAACAAGTAAATAATACTATAGATATCTATAATTGTAAAAACTATCAATAAGTTAGGGATAACATTTATTAAGTGCAAAATCAGAAAAATAATGTAAAGTTGTGTGCCATAAGTTAATATTGTTTGTTATGAATTTGTACATTTAATAGCATGCTTTCACAAAATTACACAGAAATGTGTTAAACATGGTAAAAGCTCGATATCTTTAGCCTGGACTATGAAACAAGCAAGAGGCTAATTTTCTCTGACATGCAACTACCAGGTAAAAGCTAGATTTCACAGGCTGTTACTGTAATCAGCTAATGCTAAATTTATTGAAGCATATGAAAGCAAGATGTCACTTGTCTGGGCTAAAATGAGCAAGTAAAATATCAGTTTTAATGTATTGGTATGATGTTATATTTTGTAGATCTTTAACAACTCTAGGATTAGTAATATCAGCTTTAGCCGACCAGTCAGCGGGGAAGAAGAAAGATAAGTTTGTACCATACAGAGATTCTGTCTTAACATGGCTTCTCAAAGTAAGTTATAGGAAAATTTCTGGTGAGTGTCCGTATCCAATCTTTTAAAATATGTGAAAACAATCAACCCCAAAACATTACACAATCTATACTTTATTTGTGTTACTAGATATTTGATATAACAGTTAGGATGATAAGGCCCATAGATTGATCAGCGGAATGCCAATAATAATTATATTGTCCGTCTGTGCCTGTGTCTGTCAGTTCGTCACAAATCCTTTCCTCTATCTTTGTAACCCCTTGCAGTTTGGAATTGAAAGTTGACATCATTATTCACCACTACAAGAAAATGTATCTCATATAAGAAAAAATATCCTACATTGAAGTTCAAGTTAAAACAGAAAAAAGTTCCACTTAGTCACCCTTTTGCATATTTAGAAAATTTTGAAGATTGGTATTGAAACTTGACATGATTATTTACCACTACTCAAAGGTGTGTTGCATGCAAGGAATAAAACCCTTCAGCGAAGGTTACGGTCAACCAAACCTTTTATAGCTGACTATAAGGTATTGCATTTTCTCATTGTTGAAGGCCGTACGGTTGCCTATAATTGCTTACATCCACTTTATTTGAACTTTGGTGGATAGTTGTCTCATTGGCAATCATACCACATCTCCTTATTTTTATAAAGAAAAAGACCTGTGACAATTCTGCTTCTAATTGTATCAAGTTGTTTTAAAATATAGTTTTATATGAAATACATAGAAAAAAAATTGTAAGAAAGAAAACATATGTCCATGCACTGTAACAAAAACCAACCAAATTATAGTCCGCCAAAATTATACAGATTAAGAATTATTTTCCAAAATTATCTAAAAAAATTAAGAAAGTCGAGGTTTATGTTAAGAAAGTATAACGTGGTACTGGAATTTCAAGGGTGGTGCTAAAGATTCAATGATGGAGAAGCACCACCCTTAAATAGCCTACGATGATCCCTGAGATTTAACATTGTCTGTAGTATCAGTAATAAACAATGATTTAGATATAAACTTGTTACAAGACTGTTTTACCTTATTTAAAGGGAGATAACTTTGATTTGTAAAATACACTTTGTTTTACAGGATAATTTGGTGGTAACAGTAAGACTGTGCTTCATATAAAGGGAGATAACTGTGATTTGTAAAATACACTTTGTTTTACAGGATAATTTAGGTGGTAATAGTAAGACTGTAATGGTAGCCACACTGAGTCCATCTGCTGATAATTACGAGGAAACATTATCCACACTTCGTTACGCTGACAGAGCTAAACGCATCGTTAACCATGCTGTAATCAATGAAGACCCAAATGCTAAAATTATACACGATTTGAGATCAGAACTCGAAAATCTGAAATGTCAGTTAAATGAAGCACAGGTTTGTACAATTCATTGGTCAGATTGTCTTTGATAATGTGTTGTTATATTAATGAAGAAGTGAAATGGCTGTTCTAAATCATAAAATTAATCCAGTTAATTTTGTATTTAGTATCAGTCCATATAACAATTGTGTAATTTTCAGGAAAAGTATTCACATGAATGAAGCCTATACACTTTTAATTCTGCTATTTGACTGATTGTTAGGGTACACATAATGAAATAGGTAATGTTTCTTCCCATACTGCCTGCTCGTGGATGAAAATACCAAAAAAAAATACACTGCAGATCAAAGAGTTTCCTCCTTATAGAGAATTTTCATAGGGCATACCATATTAAGAATATTTCCTATGAACACTGGATAAAATAGAAATTATAGGTAGTTTTTTATTTAACTTTGCATTATGATCAAAATATCAAAATTTATAGGCTTTATACAATGATAGGTGAAGTACAAAAAAAAATAAGTAGATTTATTTTGGTATAGAGTGAATTTATATAATTTTAACTCTTACACACTCAGTAACAGCCAATTATCTTGGATATGCCCATATTCAATATAGATGTCTTGTACCAAGTCAGGAATATGGCAGTTGTTATCAAATAGTTTGTTTCTATGTATGTTGGCATTTGTTTTTGTTGCACTTCAGTGTTTCTGTTATTCATTTGTATTCCTCTTATAGTTGATGTGTTTCCCTCGGTTTTAGTTTGTAACCCGGATTTGTTTTCTCTCAATCGATTTATGACTATTGAACAGCGGTATACGTATACTACTGTTGCCTTTATTTATTGTGAAATGTTCAAATGTATTTGTTATATAAAACTTTTGACATAATTCATAAACTATTTTTACATAAGTCTACTTTTCTTTACAAATATATTTATTGTTACAGAGTATGAAAGCATTTTTGTTAAAAGAAAGATTTTATTTTACAGAGTATGAAGGCTCCTTTGTTAAAAGAAAGACTGGAAGAATCAGAAAAAATAATGAAAGAAATGACCAAAACTTGGGAAGAAAAGTTAAAAGAAACAGAAAAAATACACAAGGTAAAATAAAGACATTGTCTTGTGACACAATATACATGTATTCTTATTGTAACCGTCCTGATGATGCCATTCATATGGTGAAACATGTAGACATAATAAATTATTTATTATTTCGTCATAACATAGGTGTTGATGTCTTTATTTTCTATAATTATATGTACCTGTAGAAAGACTGAATACCATTAGGTATCCACCCTAATTCTACCCCTACCATACGTCGACCACTTCAGGGTGTTGGTTCACTGTACTCATTACAATATACATGTAAGTCTGACTTCAAATGATGACAAATTCTAAAAAAATATACTGTGAAAGTACTTTTATTCGTTGGGTACCAATTTTCGTTGTTTTTGTGGATTACTTTATCCACGAAGTTATGTGTCCAATGAAATATAAAAACTTTTGTCTAATTTAAAATCAAAACATGGAAAGATCCGCATTTAATTTTGACTACATGGATACGGGCGTATAATCTAGAGAATACATTGAATATTAGAAATGCACTATGAAACTATATAAACAACTTCAGACAGGATTTTACTCATTTAATCTTTTGAAATCCTAAACCTAGGACTCTCATGAAAAAATAGTTTTAATCGATGAAAATCAGACTTATGGTGATGATATGCAATGATGGAGTGTTCATTTTATCTCCTCATAATTCTCATACGAAAAAAAACATTTCATATTGGGCTTGCTTTTTTATTTCATAAGAATTGATTTCACAATTCAAAGTACATTTGTAGCATGTTTATGTAAGCATTTTCTTGAAGTGACATGTTTATTGCACAATTAACACCTTTGATAATCAGTAACCTGTTGATTAATTGATCTCGGGTTAATCAGTGTCATACATGTAACTTATGATTACACGTGTGCAACAATTGAAATGTTTACTTTGCAATTTCCTTTAATCGAGACAATTTGTAAGCATAGATAAATCAGTTTTTTTCCAAAAGCAATTATTTCATAAAAAAATGATGAATGTTGTCAGTAATGAAATACGATCAAGTAAGTGAAAATGAACACCTTATTTTACAATGTCCCACAAATTATTATCAACAACATATGACTATTCTCAAAAATCTTTGTTTTGTGATGGTTTCAAATTCTTCACTCGTGTGTTTTTCTTCAGAAAATTAAATCCACGAATTTAAGAACCCACAAACATGTAACTTTTGCTCAAACCACGAAAATTGATAACCATGAATAAAAGTACTTTCACAGTAATTCTAATAAGTTGGTTTTGTTGTTGGATTTCATTGGCTAACAATTTGGCAAAAATTATCAAATCTACTTGCAATTCACAAGTATTTAAGTATAGCAGTCCATGGAAATATCTACTAAACTACATAAATAACTGTATATAGTGAGTTGGTGGTGCCAAAACAGTAAAAACTTAGAAAAGAAGCTTAATATCTATAAAATGACACGGGTATCGAGATCCTTGTGAAAAGTTCCTTATATTATGATCCCACTACATAGAAAAACAGTGACATGTGTCTCTATAAAGCAAGTTAATGTAAAAAATATCAAGATTTGTTGAAAATACAATTCAGTGGCAGATTCAGTTTGGACAACTTTTAAATTGTATGTTGATATTCTCTCAGGATTGAGAACTCAAGAGACGTGAAAGGATATATTTCAGTCGACACGTGAAAGGATATATTTCAGTCGAGATCTATCTGGGATGGTAAGAGAGAAAGTTTGACTTCAGTTACAGCTTTTTCTGGTCATTTGAACTATTATAGAAACATATACCCAATGCTTGTTTCTTTCTCAACATGTTACTGGTTCTACAGCTTCAGTACGGATGCTGAACTATTGTCTTCTTTGGCTGAGAATAATCAAATGCTATTCTTGACTGTAAAGCCTTGGCTTTCTTTTTACAAAATTTAAATGCTTTCTTGATGCTCTGCAGGTTATCAAACCACAAATACCAGCAGTAAAGCCTTGGCTTCTTCAGTTTTATAAAATGTTGAATCATTGGATTTCTTTCATTATTTCAACTATAAAAAAAAATGTATGACTTTTAGCACAATTAAAAAATATAAAATCACTTTGTCATCCTCAGTACCTATTTATATGAATATAGAAGAGGAAAAAATGACTGACTTTGTACTTAAATGCATGGATATGTAACTTGAGTTCAAGGGTCATGCATGGCAATGTTACTGAGTTCACAGGTCATGCATGTGAATTGTTGATTTAGAAATCTGTGGACTGCTATCCTTAATACTATGTTAATGCACCAAAATCATTTACAATATTTCTAGAAATTTAATTTATTTTATTTTTATTAAAAATCTTTAAAGCTTAAACATTTTGTTTTCAGTTCATCTGGCTGAATGTCATTTGAACTTTTCCCATCAGTTTGTGATGACGGATATGTTCCAATTGTTGTAATCACAATACTGTCCTCTTTTCCCCAAATGTGACCTACCAAATTAGACTTATCACAGGGTTTGTACTTACATAAAGAACACAATGGGTGCCACATGTGGAGCAGGATCTGCTTACCCTTTCTTAGCCCCTGAGATCACCCCCAGTTTTTGGTGAGGTTCATGTTTCTCAGTCATTAGTTTTCTATGTTGTGTTTTGTGTACTATTGTTTGTCTGGTGGTCTGTTTCTTTTTTAGCCATGGCGTTGTCAGTTTATTTTGGACTTATTAGTTTGAATGTCTCTTTGGTATCTTTTGCCTCTCTTCTATCGTCTGTCCATTAAATTTAGCTGTAATGAGACAATAGGTGGTCGGACCAACTTTAACTAGTTTGTTACTTTGGTACCAATCCAAAATTCAATATGGCCTCCGATTGAGGTCAAAGTTTACATTATTATTTGATTCCGATGAAAAGCCTTATATTTAGTGTTGGGCAGAATAAATCCAGTTGAGCAATCTCTGAAATCACAATATAAACATTTTTTAATTTTAATAAAAATCTTTTATAAACCAATGAAAGGAATCTCTTTCCCTACACTTCCTATGGAGATTTCGGGAGGTTTTCATTTTAGTGTGGCATAGGCCTTATCTAGTTAAAAAGTCAGCAGAAGTTAGATTGTAGACTCTTATCAAGATTGTTATATTTGTTTCCAGGAGAGACATGATGCCTTAGAACAGATGGGTGTATCAGTAGAGAAATCTGGTATAAAGGTGGAAACGGGAAAATATTTCCTTGTCAATCTAAATGCTGACCCCTCCCTGAATGAATTACTGGTGTATTATCTTAAGGTAAGTAATAATATAGTGAGGCCAGAAAATAGGTTTACTTTTACTTGGCGAACTCAATTATTTGTTGCAAATAATAAACTTCTTTTAAGCTATCTATGCTGGAGCAAAAGTTGGGTGTGAAAAAAAATTGTGACCTACAACAAAGAAGCAGACACAAAGAATGTCTATGATCTATGATACTAGGAATCAGTTTCTAGTACATTTGTCATACAATATATTTTATGGTTTTGTCAAATCCTGCATACAAGCCTATAAAAAGGAGAAGGTCTGGTAAGGGCTAATTTAGGACTAAAATTTGAAGTACATCTGATGAAAGATTTTTTAAATACTTAAGTGTCTACTTTAGTTGATTCATTTAATTATGTTTCCTAATTTTTTTGTTTTTGGCTGACCTTGTCAGTCAGAACAGTTAATTGCACAGAAAATAATATTATCTAAAAGATATAATTTTTTAATGCTGATACCTTGATGAACTGACTTATTGGTGAAAATACAAAAATATGAAGCTTCTTAGACTCCTTATCCTCTTCTCTGAATAATCCTCAAGGCCTCTTTTTATATTATCACCTAGGTTATATACAAATATCCAATAATCATGTTGTTAGAAATCCTACATGTGATGCATTAATTTTACACTGAATCCTGACACTTTTTAAATTTTCTCTTACTTCATACTTTGGTGCACAATTTAAAAAATGGTAATTCCATGATGGTGTAAAGTACATTCTCATGCAGTTTTCTCTCAAGGGAAAAGGTGGGGAAAAAATAATAAAAAAAATGTATTTATTAACAAATTTGATATGGGAGGTTAAATTCTCTTACAAAATATAATTGCTTGATATATTGTGGATTAATTTATATTTTGTAATTACAAATTTAAGTGGATGGAAGAAAACTTTTGTTGTTATTGATATTTGATTTCGTAGTTTTGTCAAATCCTGCATACAAGCCTATAGAAAATTTGTACTTCGTTGAAGATTTAAATTCAGCGTTCACTCTGACTCATGAAATCAACAAAAATTGGTATTTTACAGTATAAGAACACTTCCATACTGCTTTTGCATGTTGAATATTTAGAACTGTACTGTATCACCAGTGTTAGTTGACAACTAAAATAATATGGATTATCTCCCATTATTGTTAGATGTGATGATAGAGATTATTGATTATCTCCCCTTTGACTGTTATGAAATTCTTCATGTGATAAAACTTGATCCCAGGAGAATAAAATCTAATATAGTATATGAATTATGTCAGAAAATAAGCGTGATTATGATGAAATACAGTAATGTCTTATAAATATTTATAGATTTTCATAGCGAACTGATTTTTTATTTCCAATCAAATTATTTTTGTTCGGTGATAATGTAAATCATGCAGCTTTGTCAGCTAAATAAAGTTTTTTGCATTAAAAATCAATATATAATTTACTTTTTTTTAATAGTAATCTATTTTTTTTATATAAAAATAAGAAGATGTGGTATGATTGCCAATGAGACAACTCTCCACAAGATACCAAATGACACAGAAATTAACAACTATAGGTCACCGTACATAACATGTTTTCAGATTTACCTCATGAATAAATGAAATATGTTATTTTTTTGTAAGATAGGGCAGTTTCATTGCACATATTTTTTGCAGTATTAAGGTTGAACGATTTATACTAAATTATTATAATCAATAAATTCATTTTTGAATTATTTTTGATTCAGCCATGCTGGATCTATGCGATCACTCTGGTTTTGGAGATGGTGCAGAATACTAAGTTGAAGACATATCATGAAACTAATTATGTGTTTTTATGACTTGCAGAAACTTTCTACACCATTTTAATCATCAACTGCCAACTTTTGACATGTTATTTGCCCTTGAATTAAGAAAAGATTGGTCGAATAGTGACTTTATTTTAGATATACACTTGCATATAGTTCCTTTCTAAATTAAAATTTATGATGATTTATTATTTATGAATTAATTTGAAAAAGTATTTGTACATCAATTGAATCAGTTGATAAGAATTTTGAAAGTATTGTAGTATCTTATGCATGTGTAAATTATTGTTCAATGAAATGTAGGTCAACATGTGTATTAATATATCTAAGTTGATTCCCACACTTTTTTGAAATGGTATTACTCCAATTCTTTCCATAGGCAAATAAGAGTCAGAATGATTATTAACTGTCATGATTTTCAAATATGTATTAATTAGAAACAACCCCAGGCTTAATTCAAAACAGTTAATATCTCATGACCTGTTACATAATTAAATAGACACAACTTATTACACACCTAACTGAATACACACATTCTTGACCTCAATAGTAAACCTACAAATGTATTATTTATTTTGATCTACACTACATTTAAATATTCTGTTAATTTTGCTAGCTAGCTGAATGATTAATCTGATGTGTTTTTTTTTCAAAGAAAATACTTAAAATGAAAAAAAAATATGTATAAAAAATGCAAGCAAATTTTATTTTACTTGTAAAATCAGTGTCATTATCATCTGATATAAGTCAATAATCAAGTTCTAATTAATTAGTTACAATTATCAGAAATTTGGTTGAAATATTAAACAAAATGGCATTGCTCTTACCTGAGCATTTTCTGCAATAAAATTTATTTGTTTGTTTTACATTTATATTCCATTATATTACTATTTAACAGTAATTGGAAATATCTCAGCATTAGGTAATTGTACATTCAGATTTGAATACAAGAAATGTATTTTTTCTTAATGAAGAATAAACACCAATTTAGATAAAAATAGTTTAATTTTTTTTAATTTTTGTTGTTGGGAAAGTGCATTTATAAGGCCTCTTTCTGGAAATTATTAAACCTGTCATTATAAATGGCATATACAAAATATATTACTTGTTTGGCGATTTTCCTTTCAATTCTTGTCAAAAATAAAATCTGACAGAGTCTAAAATTGAAAGATCAGTATATATATTTATATATGCATCAATATTGCGAAATTCCCTACCTTTGGACAATAACATAGAAATTTTACAGTAAGATTGGAAATGAAAAGAGAAAAAATTAAGGAAAAAGTATGGTCAGAAAGAATATCAGACTAGCTATGAATATGACTGGATCACAACATCAACGATGCTTTGATTTTTTATGTCAACCTTATTTTTTAGTTGAAGATTCAAACATACTAACCTTTAAGCATTTCTGGTAATCTAAAACAAAATGATATGACACCAGGCATGGGTTAATGCAAATTTGTAATTGTAAGCATGGTAATGCATTACATTTTTCCAAGTAATTGCATGTAATGTGTAATGCAGCAATTTGTGCATTACATGTAATTGTAATATAATGCATTACTTTAGCAAAAAGTTGTGTAATTTCATGCATTACATGGCATTACATGTCATTACTTTTTTCACATACTACATCTTTAACATATTGTTGGAGTTTTAACTAAACCAAAATTAAGATTTCTTGATTAACTAAGAATATGTTAATCATTAGAATATTTCTTTATTTCATCTTATTTCATACATTTTCCTGCATAAAAAGATTGATATTTGAAAAGCATAGCTGTATTGTTGTCATAAGATCAAAGAATATCTTTGTTTTGCTTAAATAAAAGATAATTAAACTTTGTTATAAAACACTAATTAGTTTGTTTAACAATCAATATTTTCACCATTTAGACAATTGTTCATTAATTAAGGTCTATGTTTATTTTATAATAAGGGAAGTAATTCACAGTAATTAAATATTTCGTTTAAAATTAAAAAAAAAACAACAAAAAATATATTTATAAAAGTAAAGTCAACATTAAGTTAAAATAATTAAAAATTGTAAAAGTCAAATTAAATAGACTTTTTACATGTATACTTATATTCAATTCATGGAACAGTTACTGCATATGCTAGAATCTTTTGGGACTTCGTGTTGTTTTTCAAAATGTTTAATTTTTTTATTCACTAATAAAATTTTCAAATGTAATGTGTAATTCAAGGCATTACTTTGCAAAAGTAATTGTAATATAATGCATTACTTTGATAAATGCATGTAATTGTAATTGTAATATAATGCATGGTTTGGTCAAAGTAATTGTAATATAATGCATTACATTGCAATGTAATTCGCCCCATGCCTGTATAATGACACATGAATTATTTCAATCTAGATCAGTGCCAGCAGATGTTAAGCAACCAGCAGTCAATCGATCTAGATTAGGAAAAAATGTTAATTATGTGATAAAAGCAACTATTCAAATAATTTCCAGTTGACAGCAGGTTTGATCTTGGCATTGAGAACTGTAAGAAATATATCTTTTACACTATAAATGATAAACTAACTATTTTTGATACAATGCGGGGGTCTTTCCTTGTTCTGACATTAAGGATCTAGTCAGTTGAAATTAAAAAAAAATCTGGAATTTACTATAAATCAGAAAAGCATTAGTTATGGAACAAAATAAGCTAAAAAAACCGATAGGTTATGGAACTCCTTTTCAAGATATTTAATTTTAAAAAAATGGCTGGAAAATGCTGACTTAGAGTTTTACCTTATATTAAGCATTGGTATTATTTGGGTCTCAAATCGTGAGAAAAGAAATCTAGAATCTGCTTAAGTTTTGGTAAATGACCTTTTATGAGCTATTGAAGAGAAAAGTGAGTGATATGGGGCAAAATATTTTACCCTGTATTGTAGGAAAAAACCCAAGGAGTCTTAACATCTGACAAAACTTCCTAAATCTGACATGACAACATCCTTAACAAGGTTCATAACACTAAAGTATAACTGTCATCGAAATTATTGAGAATTTTAACATTACTAAGCTTTCAAAGCAAAAGCGCTTGCCACATTTGAATATCTTTTAATCTTCTATAATAATTAATTAGTAATAAAAATACTGATAGCAATTAAGCAAGGAATAAGCAAAAAAAAAAACTCTTGGAAGATACCAGCTTATAACTTTGTACACCAGACACACGTTTTGTCTACATATAACTCATCATGGACGCTCG